ATATATATATATATATATATATATATATATATATATATATGTCTAACGCCAAACTATGCGCCAAACAAATCATGGTACAATAATCTTTATAAGAAAGCAAAATATTCCATGATATGCATGCGGCCGGAATACTGACAGGTTGCTCAGGCCAAAACAGGTTAATTTTCTTGAGGAATCCGCAACCGCAGCCAAAGCTTGATTCACAGAGCAGTGTAGTGGTGTGTTAAAACCGCAGTTCATTGGGGGCCGGTGTCCAGTTCATCGGATCATACGCCCTTTGGATGGGATCAAACGTCCAATACACCTCAATGCCCAATTGAGTCGGTGACCATTGCCACAACCGAAAAGGTGTGGGTGTGGTTCGTACGCCTCCTCATGGTTGGTTTGGAATCAGGGATTTTGGCCAACTCCTCTAGGTGAACTACCGGTGGTCCACCAACCCGGTTATAGCTCCGGATGTCAGCTCTTCGTCCTCTCACTTTGGTGGGAAAACACCTCCGCCAAACGATAAGGCAGTGAGTAGGGCTTCCTCGGCTGAGGCTATTTGAGACATTTGGTCGTATGGGAGCATTTCGCGAGGTGCAAGGGTAGAGTGACAATCGGCAACCCTAGACGCACACCCGAACATCCTGAGGCTTTCGGGTAGGCATTGGCAGAAAAAGATACTCGCTATACAACAAACCTTATGAGATTTTCAGTACAACCGACACAGGAAAATTAACCAATGTATGGCAACATGATTTTTCAACTACTTTTTCTCTGGTACAAGCCAAAGAAAAAGCGATGAAGCCGCCAGTAGAAATGCGTACTATTTTTTGGCCTTCCAAACACGAACTAACAAGTGTTCTGTAATGTGGATATTCAGGTGCACACAACCGTTCCAAGAGGAAATCTACTCAACTTTTCGGGTCAAGGGAAAAGCCACATTTTTAGTCACATACACTCGCTACTCCATGGGGTAATAATTTTTGCAATTCGATTAAAAGTTTTTCGTGACCAGATAAAAATACTTGAAAAAATCTCCGTACTAATTTCTGCCTAGCCTGACCGTCATGGACAGTAAGTGTTCTCTTACCTATGGGGGCAAAGTCAAAAGAACGCAAGACGTACTTGATGATTCATGACAGAAAATGGGAGAATACAATAGGTGTACGGTTGGGAACACACAGGAATAGGTGGAAATAAGGGGATAGTGGAAAAACTGTTATTGATTTTATTTCTAATTGACCAATTGTCTTAGACGGTCAGATTAAATTAGGAGACAATTTGTATGAGTGGTTTATTGGTACAACAAACAATTCAATTCAAATATAGTTATTACTTACTACAACCATTCATTACATGTAGTTTATTGTTCTGATTGCAAATACCACTTCGCCAACAAAGATGGCGAGATTAGCAGCGAACTGCTGAGATAACTGATGAACAACTTTATCAACAGTGCATACGTAAAACATAAACCGATTGCACTTGTACAGAGCGCTTGTGAAACAGAAACAAATATTCTTCCTGTTGTGTTTGAAATTATTTCTTTTTACTTGTACAGTGATGGCAAACTGATGAATTAGTAAATTTAATATACAAACTTCTGTGGATTTTTCCAGTGCCGGTTGTCAATCAGTTAAGGTTACCAAGTTATTACTCCGAAGGTCGTGTGCTGGAACCCCACCAACGCTGCCCACTTTCCCGTCGTTTTTGTAAAGCATGGGTGCACCATGAGAAGCTGCTTCACCTTCCTGATATATTGTTCGTACAATTATGCATTTAATAAAAAGATGGAGGGGAAAGTGAGGCTGCATTCGGTATGCGATTTACTCAGAAATGATTCAGCCCAATTCCCACATTCACTTCAACACTACCACAACACGAATGCACCTGGGCGTGGCTTTCGCATTTCCAGCCAGGATGGCCTTCAATCTGATGCGGGAGACAATGGACAGTGTTCCCATTTGCTTTATATTTAGGAAACTACGTCTCTCCTGGTGAACAAATCTCGAACGAAAAGTGAACAAATCTTCAAAACGCACACTGTTTCGGAGTCTACTAACTTCAGACAACAACTTGGCACTTTTGCGTCACAGAATTATTCGCGAGTGATCAGGTGTATCCGCCGAAGTCCGGTTGCTCCTACTGCTGTAAGGTGCTACTCACATTTGCGAGTAGTATGCAAAATAGTGCGGTTGGTGGTTTTCTTCAAAGATCAAGAAGTAACAAGACTATCGAGGGAAAATTGCTGTCGCAAAGAATAACTACCGAATGTTCCATTCATTATTCGCTGTGCTGCCTGGAACTGCGATGATATGTTTTAAATGAGATTTTTGTTATATGTATGCTAAATTAATGATACTCCAGCTGTAATCTGCAAAAAACTATTCTCAACCGAGCACCACCTTGTGGAATTAACACTACTTTGCGCTATACAGAGAAAGCCGCAAAGTATGAAAGTAAATTAAGGCTGTTCCACGTGAAAACATTATTGTCAGAGCTGAATGGCACACGTCTGGTGCGATAGACGGAAAGACAATGCCGAGGTTGAACGAAACAGAATACCTATGGAGACGAGGGCTTTTTCTCCGGTTTTGTGGATCTGCCTTATTTCCATGCGCATACATTGTGCCAGCATTTTATTTATAAAAAAACAGGAGCACAAAATTGCAGTTTTTGAGTTGTAATAACCTAAAACGTGGAAACGATCATTGATACTAACTGACTGTCCTAATCGAAACCGGAATGAATCAAATGCAGCTCAAAAATGCAAAGTTCAATAACTTAATATCTTAAATTTAGTCAGATAGATACAATCGAGCATCCTTGACTAACAAACATCGGGGTTATAAAAAAATTCACTTCTCGGAATATGATGCACTGCTGTGATCGATTAAGCACGAGACGTGTGTCGAAATCAAGAATTTAAAACCAGTAGAAGTGAGCGATCTTTGTCCGAATTTGGAATATGTTGAATATCTCGGAGGAAGACTTCACGTGACACGCAAGCAGAAGATTCAAAGCAAAAAAATTACCGACTACGGGGTGGGGTGGAATATACAATATGGAACAAATTGAGTGTCCTCAATGTATGACCATAATAGGGATAAACCAAGGTACCCAGAAGTGATGACGTGATTCAGCAACATATAATTCACCTAAACCACATTCGGGGATCAGAAAGAAAGAGGAACATGACTAATGCAGCACAAATAGAAAAAGTTGCTTGCAGGTAAATCGGGGACCACACAGATTAATTAGTCTGTTCTAAATCGGGGGTTCTTAAAAAAGTGCTACATCAAGACATATAGAGAATCTGATTCACTCAACATCGTATTCTAGTTTTCCGGGTAATTTCCTTGTGCAAAAGAACACCAAGGGCAAAAAGAGACGCCCGTGCCTGGTTAGTGAATTTGTAACTTATTAGTCTTACTACCAGGCCTACATTACTCTCTCTCTCTCTCTCTGTCCCTATGTTTATGAAAGCTTCTTGCACACCTGCATCACTCATCTTTCCTTTATCGAAAGAAATAAACTGAAAAAGCTGTTAATCCCCGATGAAAGACAGAGTCACATAACTTAGTATCAAATAAAGCGAATAACTCGAATGCACCAACAAACACCACGAGGACGAGTCCACAAAAAACTTTGTTTTGCCCTTAGTGCATCGATCTAACAGGATGCACTCAATTTGTTGGTCAGAGGTAGGCTTGAAGCTGAAAAGTCCGTATTTGAATTTCACCTCCAAAAGCCGTAGCATGGTCGGGGTGTGTGTCTAGGGTTGCCGATTGTCACTCTACCCTTGCACCTCGCGAAATGCTCCCATACGATCAAGTGTCTCAAATAGCCTCAGCCGAGGAAGCCCTACTCACTGCCTTATCGTTAGGCGGAGGTGTTTTCCCACCAAAGTGAGAGGATGAAAAGCCGGTATCCGGGGCTATAACAGGTTTGGTGAACCACTAGCAGATGGCTAAAACCCTGATTCCAAATCAGCCAAGAGGAGGCGTACGAACCACACCCACACCTTTTCGGTTGTGGCAATGGTCACCGGCTCAATCAGGCATGGAGGTGCATTGGGCACCTTGGACGTTTGATCCTGTCCAAAGGGCGTATGATCCGATGAACCGGATACCGGCCCCCAATGGACTACGGTTTTTACACACCGCCTTGCGGATCAGGCTTTGGCTAGCCGAAGGCTCCTGCCTTGGCCAGGAAATATATTTCAATTTCAATTTCGCTTGTAAACATTCAACTAACCTCGGACAGATAAGCAAAACTGTTTCGGGAAAGGCGAATAATGGATGCGTCTTTGCGCATCAATTTGTCCGTCTGATAGACATGTGGGTCCGAATCCCGCACGTCCACAATCAACAGTTCCGGGTTGAGCAGATAGAACACCGAGTTCAAGTGTGTCGCATTGACCAGACAAGCGGTCGGCTCGTCCACTTCTCTCCAATGCTTGGACTGGTTGAGCACGGCGGGGATGGAGTAACCCGGTTTGGCCAAATTGAGTAAATGATAACCTTTCTGGAAAGGCGCACAAAAAAGAAAACAAAGTGTGATTGCACAGCCTTGTATGCCACCCCAATTTTTGATTTGTCACCAAGAGTGAATTAAGCGACAAACAAATAGGATAAAAAAGAGTGAAGAATGTTTCCAAAAAATTTAAATCAACTGGTGTGTGACACATTGCACCAATATACAATCAAGGCTTCCAATCATTGAAGTAATTATCAAATTATGGTAAACGTCGTCAGTATATGCGTGTACTCTGTGACAGGCATTAGTTTACAGTTCAGTTTTCACAATTATTAACCATGTGCACTTTCGTGCGCCGGTTTTGGTTGATGTCTTTTGGTCACCCATTCGGATAA